CCCTCCATCCTCCCAAGCATGATATCTCTCTCTCCAAGGACTTGTTTCTCCTTGTAACATGACCAAAGTATGTCAGACAAAGCTTCAGAATCCTTGCCTCCAAGAAGCAGCTTAGTTTCACCCTATCTAGGACAAACCTGTTTGTTCTCCTAACAGTCTGTGGTATATTCAATACTCTTCTCCAGCACCACAGCTCAAAGGCTCAGTTCTCCTGTCATCCCTAGGCATTGTCCAGCTTTCTGATGCATAGCAAGTAATTGCAAAGACCATGGCCTGGATCAGGCGCACCTTAGTCTCCAGACTGAAATCTAGAGAGGTTCCCAACAGCAGATTTTTCCCAATGCAATTAGATCTTTAGGTCCCCATTTACAGAAGGAAAATAGACCTGAAGAGTTCAGGAACATGTGAGATCACAGAGCTAGAATTTGGCAAAGCCAGGATTTGAACCTGTTTGTATAATTCCATAGCCCAAATAATAACTTTAAGTTCTGTACTGCATTTGTATTACAATGTCTGTGATGTCAGAGACCGTGGTGGTGAGGTCACTGTAGCTGTAGGCCTTATCCATTGAATAAGTAGCAAGCACAGTGCTTAACCAGGTCTGTCTGACTACAAAGCCCAAGCTCCTAACCACTGTACCCCAAGGCTTAAGGAAAAACAGTAGTTGATGTTTATGGATCCACTAATTACACTTAGAGGAAGCTTGAAATGAGGCATACTTGAAAGAATTATTCAGAGTCACTTTTTCTTTTACAATCATATTTCCCAGTGGTTTCAGAAAGCTTTATGGTCTTCCTAATTTTTATCTCGAAAACATTCCTAAGACAGAATTTGTTTGTAAATGTGGATACTGTTAATGGGGAATGGGGGGCATATAATAAAATCTCCCCTTCTGTGTTTATTTGGAAAGTCACTTTGAAATGACTAAACTGTTTCCGCCACACGGTAGAGCTCCATAAATCATTGCTCCTCGCTCCTATACAGTCATGATTTCTTCATTGCACAGGGCCATTCAAACAGTAATTCTTCTCAGTAGACAGAGGAAAACTTCATTCGATTCTTTTAAAATCATCTTTTCTAAACTTTAAAAAAAAAAGCCTGGAAGAACCTGCAAAACTGGAAATAATTCAGTTTTATCAGAATTCCAACTTGAGTTTTTTGCACAGAGGCAGTCCTGACCTGGCTGGAAGGGGAACAGCTGTAAGCAGCCTTTACACACTCGGAGGTGCCCCAAACATTTAAGCATTGGAATAGTCACTGAAAGATTGCTTGTTTGAACTTACAGGGAGGCACATTGGAAGAAAGGCCTGGTGATCTGCTTTGAAAAGGTCATAGACTTTCATACCCTGTGGAACAACTCTACCCTGGCACACCAGGGTTGCCTTTCTTTGATATGGACTCACTGGCAGCTGGTTTTGGGTGGTTTGGTTTCCTGGTGTCTTTCTTGTGGGGGTGGGGGCAGTGTGTGTTTCGACAACTTGCATGTGTTCAAGTTTCAATTATCAGTTAAACAAAAAACAATTTAGAGAATGATTTCTAAGACTTCTTAATGAATCTTTATGTCATCTGCTCTGATTTAGTCTAATTCATAAGCTGTTGTTGCTGCCCCTTGAAAAACAAAAGTGCAGTAATAGGGAAGCTATTCCCTTGTTTGCCACACATTTTCCAGTGTGATCCATATACATTTTTGCATTTGATCCTGAGAAGGGATCTGAGGTCTTCAGAAGCCTAGGTCTGGCTCACAGTGAAAGCCAGAGAACTGGCTTTTAGGACTGTAGTTATTGCCTATGGTAAAAATGGTCCTCTTCCAGAGCTGATTCTTGTAATTGCTGTTTGCTGTCGAGTTGGCATGACTCATAGCGACCACATGTGGAACAGGGGACACCTGCCCCACAAGAGCAGATCACCAGCTCTTTCCCACTACCGCCACCAGGTCATCTAAACCACCAACCTTTACCAGGCACCTGGCCACATAATACTTGCCTTCCTTCAGAGCTAGTCTAGTGTGCTGGAATAATTCTTGTTTTACAGATAACAAGGAGCTCTGATGGGGTACTCCATAGAGCGTTTCACCACTAACTCAAAAGCTATGGTGGCTCAAATCCACCAGCTGTTCCTTGAGAGAAAGATTAGCGATCTCCTGTGTGAATCTCAGAAACTTGCTGAAGGGTTAGCCATGAGTTGGTTCTGACTCAATGACAATGGGATAGATAGATGGATAGATGGATGGATGGATGGATAGATAGATAGATAGATAGATAGATAGATAGATAGATAGATAGATAGATAGATAGATAGAAATATAGATAGAACGGTCACTGAGCAGAATGAAGCTCATTTCCGTGTTTCTCACGACTCAGCTGTGTGTATAAACATTGTTTTGGAGTCAGTTTTTCACACTTCTGTCTAAATGCATGGTCCTTGCTCACAAATTGTTCTTCATGTCCCTCTGACATTTACTATAATTCTTAGGAAGTCATAATTGCTATATTTTTGTTAACAGTTGAAAATAGTATGAGTAGTAGGGACACTTTACCCTTGCTCCCTCTGTAATCAGAAAAGGATTTCATTCTCTGTAACTTGTTAAGAAGAGAAAAAAAACTTTGGAAGGGAAACATAAAGGCCAGGGTGGGAGGAACATGAGAATCGGTTTTTCACTAATTCGGAGTTTTACAAGTTGGAGATTACTGAAGATACTTCACTTGACCAGAGCAGGAAGAATGTGAATGGACATCAGTATCTGTGGAAAGCAGTTCTTATGCGTTTAGGACACTGATTTCCATAGAGAAGATTGGTTGGGGAAGAGGAGTAGAATGGCAGCTGAGAAGTGGAGAGCATGCCTGTTAGAAACCATTACCCTGGAGGTTCCAGTCGTGATCTGAAGCCTCTTTACCTGGGTATCAGAAGCTTCTCATTGTGAAATGGCATCTTCTTTATGTAAAGGTGAACTGTGGTGTAGCCGTAAGTTGTCGAGAACAGTCAGTACGGTGCCTGGTAGGTGCCAACATTCACATATGGGAACCATTTTGAAATAATGATGATGGTGGTACCTGTTTCAATTGTAGTTTAATTTTTTTGAACCCAGGTTTGTTGCTGCTTTTGCTTTTAGTCGTCTTCTCTTATTTATCCTCTAGCCCCAATTGAACTCAAGTATGTTGTAGTGATTCAGTTTATTTTGTTGAAAGTTTTCAGCGCCCTAGGGAAAATATGATAATGCTGTTTTCAGACAGCTGTGTATGGGAGTGAGACAGACTTAACCAGCTGGCTGGCATCATTGGAGCCTGAGGACCTGCCAACCCATGGAGAGCAGCTGTTTGGGCTGAAATTCCTGCAATTCTTACAAGTTTGCTTTCTGTGGGGCAGATCTTGAGTTCTGTTGTTGAATGTGCGTGCACATGACACAGAGAGGACCATGAGAAAGACCCTTGTATGTCCCGGGCCATCCAGAGGTGAAGGTGCAGCCACTTCCTGTTACACATCTAAAGCCTTCTCATTGCTTAGAAAGAGAGTGTCTAGAAGGAGCTACCTCCAGAGAGCAAAAGATGCTAGTGAGGGAATCAGAGCATTTGGACATCTCAGTGTGTTACTGTTGGGCGATGACTCACAGCATCCACATTATGGAGCAGATCTGCTCCCTTGGGGTTTCACGGCTCCTGTTCTTATGGAAATAGATTCCCAGGCCTTTGTTTCTGCTGCCACTGAGCGAGTTCAAACTGGCAACCCCTTACAATTACCAGTCAAGAACAGGCTTATCTGTACTACCCGAGGGTCCTTACATCTCAATATAGTTGGAGTATCATTTCTATCATTCTAATAGCAGCCATTGTAGAATATCTTTTAAATATATTTAAGCAGCTCTGGTGGCTTAGTGGTAAAGAGTTGTGCCACCAACCCAAGGGGCCTACAGTTCCAGTCCACAAGCAACCTCTTCTCATGTGATTTACAACCTCCAAAACCCCCCTGGGGGGGTAAGCTATGAGTTGGTTCTGACAACCAGAATGAGTTTTTTAGGCTCGATTTATGTATATACATTTTTCTTTTTCATGCATACCATATATAACAATAGACTTTCTAAAACTAGTAATAAAAAAGTAAAGCCTGTAAGAAATTAATATTTGAATTCTATATTATAGCATTTAAGGAGTTAAATTAATATGAATTTTCTAAATTTTCAAAATGTGTGCAATATTTATATGATACTTTTATCATTAAGGGAAATAAGGAACTTTTCTTTCCCATTTAAATAAGAGAAAGCAAGCTAATCATGAGTACAGAGGCAGAGCTGCTGGCTGACAAAGGGTGCTTCCTCAGAGATGACTGATGGACAGAGAGGTGGCGCCCTACCTAGGATGTGATGGGTTCTTTCTGGAATATTAAATACACATTTCACATTCTAAGGTTGTAAAGTGATTGGCAAAAACTAGGAAACAGAACCAGTGAAGAAAAGTGAAAGGATCTTAATTGGTTCTGAACAAAGTAAGTAATCTTTAAATTCTGAAGGATGTGGAGTTGCTGTTAAACATGATGGAAAAATCTGGAATCAGAATGTTGTGATTGCTGCACAGCGTGGTGGGCACAGTGACTGTTGCTGAACAGTGCATGTGAAAATGGCTGACTGGCAAGTGTTGTGTTTATCTACTTCATCACAATAAACACTTTTGAAAAAAACAAACTAATATTAGAAGATAATACTTTATACTTAGCACAGCTGCTTTATATCTCTGGAGAGAACAGCATAAAGGAGATCTGTTGATCTTAGAGTAGGAATGGCTGGAAACAGGAGAAATGTTCTCTCAATTCTGGGATAAGCCTCCGAAAGGGAATGTGTAATACTAGGTCCTAGAAATGACTAAAAGTTCTGATTAAATGCTGATGGCCCTTTTATATCTTTGCCTGTTTTCTCTGAGATGCCTCCAAGCCTTTTGTTGTGCCCATTCAGGCCTATGCCTTCTCTTCAGATCAGGGAAGTATGTGACTTTTTTGTGCTATGTTCTTTGCAGATATTTAACACTGTGCCGGATGCATCATTCACCAATACCCAGCTGCACCTCTCTCGGAAGAAAAGCAGCGACTCCAAACCCCCGTCCTGCAGTGAGAGGCCCCTGACACTCTTCCATGCTGTGCAGTCCACAGAGAAACGTAAGTTCCACAGCCCAGGGAGGGTGTGGTACTCGGGGGACATCTTGGTCCACCTCCCTGATGCTCCACGTGAACACCTCAGCCGGTCTCAGTGAACTGCTGCCTTCTCTGGTCCTGAGAAATGTGTGCCTTTGTGCCTGTCCAGGTTCCATCACTGCATGGACCTGACAGGACAAGAATCAGCATTGCTTAGAATAAAAGGCAGGGGCCAGTAACCACAGGTCTTTGGGTAAACCACCAAACATTTTCTCCTCTCACACACAGTGCAAGTGTTCATTCAGGTGTTCATCTGAACCATGTTTCCGGAATGGCTCCCATAGATTTAATTTCTTTTCCTCCTCAGGACATACTTAGTGCTGATAAGTGTGAGTCACAGACCTCAATAGAATGTGACTCTCAGAGGACAGGGCAATGGTCAGCCATTTCTGGAAGTGCATGAACCAATAGTACAGAAGAAAGAAGCCAAAGCTGAACTGAAACTACTTACCAAACACATGGTTCCCGGAATGGACAAGATACCAATTAAGATGTTTCAACAAATGTATACAACACCAGAAGCCTTCACTTGCCAAGAAATTTAGAAGGCAGCCAGTTGGTTATAATTGGAAGAGATCCATGTACATGCCCATTCGATGAGCCAGTGGAATGTGGAAATTCTCAAATAGTATCTTTAATATCACAGGTTTGGAAGCAGGAGTGGCATCCACTTCCTAAACAACTTGCCTCCAGAAACTATGAACTTTGATAAATGTTGATAGTTGTAGAGGGGCTTCAGGCCTTTAGTTCATAGGGTTGCAATGAGTCGTGCTCACCTCGAAAGCAATCAACAACAACAGCATCACTCATCAGTAAAGTAGTCCTGAATATTGTTTTGAGATGACTGTGACAGTACACTGACATGGGACTGCCAGAAATCCAGGCTGCATTCATAAGTACTGGAACAAGGGATATATCATTGCCATGAGTTGAATTTTTTTTTTTCCTCAACTGGATCCTGACTGAAAAAAAAAAAACAACCCAAAAAACCAAGAAAAATCTTTGCTTGCATTTTATTGACTTTGCAAAAGCACACTTGACTGTGTGGATCCTAACAGATTATGGATAACATTGGAAAGAATGGAAATTCCAAAGCACCTAATGATACACACATGAAACCTGTAAATTGGAACACACTCGGTGGTTAAAATCAGCAAAGGGGGTTTATCCTTTTACCATATGTATTCAGTCTGTAAATATAATCCTAGAAGTTAGACTGTATGAAGACGGTGGGATCAGGAGTGTAGACAGACTCATTACCTACCTGCAATGTACAGATGACACAACTTAGCTTGTTAAGAGGAAGAAGACTGGAGAATTTACTGAGGAAGGTCAAAGGTGCTAGCTTTCAGTTATGGATTATGCCTCAAAATAGAGAAAACAAAACCCTTCCTAACTGATTCAGTGTCAATGTGATGATAAATGGAGAAAACATTAAAGTTGTCAAGGATTTAATTTCATTCAGATCTACAGACAGTGCCCTTGGAAGCAGATGTCAGGACATTAAACAATGTATTGCACTAGGCTGATCAACTCAAAGAGGAAAAAAAAACAAAAACAAAAAAACCGCACCTCCTTAAAGTGTTAAGAAACAGAACAGTCACCTTAGAGACTAATGTGATATTTTTGATCACCTCATATGCATACACTGGCTGGTCAGTCAATAAGGAAACTGAGGAATTGATGCATTTGAATTATGCTGTTGGCAAATATTGTACATGTCAGGATCGCCAGAAGCACACACAAGTCTGTTTTGAAAGAATTATAGCCACAGTGCTCCTTAGAAGTCAGAATGGCAGGGAGCTCTGATGGCCTAGTGGCAAGAAGCTGCACTGCAATTCCAGTGGTATGCAGTTCGAATCCACCAGATGCTCTGCTGGAGGAGGGACAATTTCCTCCTGTACCAGTCAGATCTGACTTGACGGTACACACACTAAATATAATAAAAAGTAAAATTTAAAAAAAAAAAAGAACTGAGAATGGCAAGACTTAGTCTAGCTTTGGACACATTGTGATAAGAGACCAATCTCTGGACGAGGATACATCATGTTTGGTAAAGTAAAGCAACAGCCGAGAGAAGACGACCTTCAAGAAGATCCCAGCAGTGACTCAAACACAACCACCACGTGAATGTTTCATTTTGTTGTTTCTGGAGCCTCTTCGTATTTGTACCAACTTGAAACACCTATCAGCTTAACAGCATGTTTAACACCATTTGGGTTGTCTTTGGGTTTTTGTTTTATCAGTAAAGCTGTTATCTTGTAACTAAGTGTGCTCATATTTCCTTAAGAATGATAAATTCCTGGAAAAGTATCTAGTTCAGAAGTTTTGCCCTCTGTGTTCAGGCTTTGACCATACATTGATATGGATTGGCTTCCCTTCTGATAAGGAACCCTGTTGATACTGTTTAAGTGGGGTTGCTAACTGAACAGCCTATAATTCAAACCTATCAGTTCTTCCAAGGGGGAAAAATGCGGCAATCAGCATCTTCTGTAGAGAATTACAGCTTTGGAAATCATAAGGCAGGTAATTCAACTCTGACCTTGAGGGTCACTGGGAGTCAGAATTGAGTAGTAATTGGTTGAGTTTTCTTTTTGTTCTCCTTTTGATGACAACCGTGCTCCTCTTAAATCTTTTACTTATTCTCACTGTGGTCTGTCTGCACATGGCCGTGCTCCCCTCCGAGTGCAGTGGGGGACACGGCACAGGAGTGTCCGCACCCACATCTGCTGAGCAAGGCTTCAGGTTACAACTGATGTGCTTCCCAGGTATCCAGGAGAGCTGTGGTCACCTCGTGTCTTGTACTTAGCCTTGTAAAGTCAAATCAGGCCAGGGTAGTCAGTTATTGTAAATTCCTCTGAGTTGGTGATAGTGAGAAGTTTGTGGTAAAACTGAAGCAGAAGCAGTTTCAGAAGAGGATTTCAAGTGGAATCTGGGAGTAAGTCATTTTATAGAGGTTGTTGTTGTTGTTAAGTGCTATCAAGTTGAGTACGACTCATAGTAACCCTATGAACACCCAACCTGAAACTTGCCTTATCCATTGCCATCCTCATCATCTCTGAGACTCTAAAGTCATGGCTGAAATCACAGCATCAATCCATCTCATTGAGGGTCTTCCTCTCTTTTGGTGACCCTCCATCTTTTTCAGCATAATATCCCTTTCTAAGGAATAAATTCCATCTTTGCTCAAGACTAAGTTCATCACACAAGGGCCAGAAACATTGGTTATATAGGTACTGAAAGCAGACCTGCCTAAACTTTTTTCTAAAAAAGCTGCCGCGTCACTGTCTGCAGATGGTGGACAGAAGGATAGGAAGCAGGGAGAGAGCAGAGCAATACACTTTTTTCCTCCTAGTGTGAGGAAACACACTGGGAATTTTCCTCCTTTGGAACAGGACTTAAATCTCCATATGCTTGGACATATTTGGGGTGCTTTTACTCCGAGAATAAACATTTTCATTGAAAAGGTTATACATACACAAAGAGATTTTATTTTTTCAAACATTTCCTGTGCATATGAAAATTGGACTGTGAATAAGGATGATAGAAGAAGAATCTATGCCCTTGAGTTGCGGTGTTTGAGAAGAGTACTGACTATGCTATGTATGGGCTGCTGAAAGTTCAAACTAGTCTTACTTTGGAGGAAGTGCAACCAGGGTGGTTGGTGAAACTCTATTTCACATACTTCGGGCATGTTGAAAGCAGGGGACAGTTGTTTGAAAAAGACAACATGCTGGAAAAGATAGAGGATCAGAGAAAGAGAGAAAGAGCCTCAATGGGATAGATTGACAAAATAGTGGTAATGATGAACGGGAGCGTGCTGGAGTTTGTGAAGATGGTGTAGGACAAGTCAGAGTTTGGATCTTTTGTTCATAGGATTGCTGTGAGTCATTATCAACCAAATGTCACTTACCAACATACACACAGAAGTAACTTTTAATTAAGTATATTAAAATGTATCTTTTATAAAATTATCAAAATACCACCATTCGTATGCAGTTGGGTTTGGAAGCATTTCTGATCTGAGACATTAGATCAGTATGGAAGCAGCACAGACAGCACTGTCTGAGGAGCTGGAAGGTTCTGACTAGAGCCTCTCAGATGGAGCCACCGGCACAGCGAGGTGACGGGACCCTGCAAAAGTAGAGAACGCTGCCCTTCCCTTCATCCGGTCTAGGGACACATAAGGATTTGCTTTACCAAAACACTTTTTCCCAATACTCTAAAAGTACAAGTGATTGGTTATTTTAAAAATGTACGTAGTCCATGGAGGGATGGGGGAAGTACATATTCCATATAATGATGTTTTCAGTTTGAGGCCAGTTGATACCCAGCTCACTGCTTTAGTCATTTATATAAACCCTCTTTTACCATCAAGACCACAACACATTACTCATGCTCTGTTAAAGCAACTTCCTTCTCATGGCCTCATCCTAGTCAGTAAAATATGGGGACACATTTTTACTGGACTTGGTGCAATATCTCTAATAGACATTGATTTAATAACTAAGGTAATTGTCAAGATGAAAAAATGTCTATTGCATCCCACCTTAGCATCATTTTGTGAACTACCAATGGAGAATTTGAGGTCCATAAACTAACTCTTAACTTTTGACCAATTCAAATCTTCATCCCTTAATTAAAGTATACAAACTGAAATGTCTTGTTCACTTGACGAGAGGGAGTTCAGGTACTGTGACTGTTTATATGATAGTGAATACATACCACTCTTATATCCATTTTGTGCTTTCCTACCTGTTCGTTCTTTTTGTTACCTTATCTTTCTTTAGGTTTTTACCATAGAACAAATACCCTGTTAGAGCTATTGCACACACGCACACCCCTCTTCTCTCTCTTACTTTCAAACTTCATAATTTTCAAAACCTCATTTCCTCTTAGGTCTGCCTGCCTGATGTCTTTTGAGTGCAATTATGTGCTTTTTGTCCTCATTGATGTACTTCCAG